AAATTCTAGTAAGAAGACCAGACTTAATGGTCTGACTGAGACTGGAGGAACCCCAGAAAGCATGGCCCCTGGATTCTCTATCAGCCCAGAAGTAAAACAATTTCCGAGGCCAACTCTTCAGACAGGTATTGGACTGGACTGTGGGACATAAAGTGATAGTCATGAGGAGAGTGCCTCTTGGCTCAAGTGGATACAAGAGACTAAACGGGCAGCTTCTGCCCAGAGGTAAGTTGGGAAGGCAGAGAGGGTTAGGAGCTGGTTGAATGGACATGAGGAATCGGGTGGAAATGAGGAGTGTGCTGTCACAGTATGGGGAGAGCAATTAGGGTCACATAACAATGTATGTATAAATTTTTATGTAGGAGACTAACTTGAAATGTAAACTTCATTTAAACTACAACAATAAAAAGAAAATATGTCTGCCTTGAGCATTGTGCTATTTTAAGATCTATGTATACGGAATCAAATTGACATTAGCAACTCGAAAGATTAGATAAGAAACTTAGGGGGCAGTGAGTTTATGTTAATGTGGGAGAAACAACTCAGAAAAGGAGGGTAAGAATGGTTACACAACTCAAAGAATATAATCAATGTCACTGAATTGTACACGTAGAAATTGTTGAACTGGTGTATGGTCTGCTGTGTATATTCTCAACCACAACAAAAATAAATTATTGAAAAAGAAAACCCTATGGACTGCAATTCTACACGGCAATAGGTTTGGTGAAGGCAGTAGGATGGGACAGAGGAATAAGGTAAGCAAGGATATGAATTCAACCAGGTCCAGCCTCTGCCCGACCCCACAGGCAGCTCTGGAGCATGAGTTGCACCATAGAGCTATCCCAACTTGAGATAAGGGGTTCAGGCTTCTTGTAGTCAGCCATTGGATGTGGGTGACCCAGTGGGAGTAGAAGAACTTCCTAGGTGAGGGGTCACCCATTCTGTTGAGGGCAACTCTCTGGAGACAGCGTAACCACGAGCCTTTAGCAGCCATTGCTCACATAGTTGGGGGATGGACACACCAGCCCCGTGACAGGATCCAAGCTAAGCATCAGCAGTGCCACACCACGCCAGTGCCACGCCATCACACGTTATCTCTACTGAGAGAGTTGCCCTTCCTTCTGGGGTCTTTAGTAAAAAAAACAAAGAGATGCTGCTCATCACTGGACAAATCAAAATCTTTCTCTTCAGAAAAAAAAAAAAGCAGTGCACAGGATATTCTGCATCATTGCTTACAACTACATGTTAATGTACAATTACCTCAGAATAAAATTTTCTTCCTTGAAGAATGTAATCAATGTCACTGTACATGTAGAAATCGTTGAATTGGCTATGTTTTGTTGTGTATATTTTCACCACAATAAAAAAAAATCTTTTTTCATCTTCCTCTTCCTCCCACCCTGTAGCTACCCCTCTTTTCCTTCTTTTTCCAACCATTGGCCTGGGGGACTTGATATATTTGAGCAGTTTTACTAAAAGTTTGAAATGTTGCAATGGAGGAAAATTTAAAGGTGCAGGGACCAGCAGACATGTTACAAAACAGCACCCTCATGCTGCACCTGTTTCTGCCCAGCCTGAGATTCTAGAGAGTCTGCCGATTTGGACTGCAAAGGTGACAAGGACACAGGAAAGAGGAAATGCCCGGGGGGATCACCAATGCCGCACCCCCCAATCAGAGTGCCTGGGCCCCTTCTGTGCCTTTAGTTTTGGTGTGGCAGGGCTTTGCAGCAGGCAGCATGGGGACACTCAGAGGGCTAAGAGTGATGGCAATTTACCAACCAGGAGAGAAATTATCCTATATGTAACAGCCAGTACACCTGTACCAAGGAGCCATGGTGGCTCAATGGTTAAACTCTCAGCTGCTGAGAGGTCAGTGGTTCGAGCCCACCAGCAGCTCCACAGGAGAAAAACCTGGCAATCTGCTGCCGTAAAGATTACAGCCTAGGAAACCCTATGGAGCAGTTCTACTTGGTCCTGTAGAGTTATTGAGTCAGAATCAACTTGACGGCACACAGCAACAACAGTTGTACCAGTAAGAATCAGCTCCAGACTCCCCAGCCACACACCCTCATCCCCTTCTCCTGTCCCTGTGGTCTGGGCCACAGAAGAGGCAGAGAGACCCCAGGAGCCCTGGGCACTTGCCTTAATGTGACAGGCGACCCATCCAGCCATTTCCAGTCCCCTTCTTGGTCCTTGTCATTCAGCCCAAGCCAGTACACCCGCGGAGAGCCATGAGCTTTGGCTATAAAATTCTGCAAATACAAACTCCACTCAGCCACCAGTTCCTCTACATGACCCCCAGGGTGAGCACCCCATCTCCACTCTGACCCATGCATTTAGAGCTTTTGAATGCCACCTCCCAATCCCATTCCAGTGCCCATGACATGCAGAACAGGATCACCACCAACCTCCCACATTACCATGTGTAGGAGGATAACCTCCCCATCGTGAGACTTTCGCATGTGACCAACCACTCTGTGCCTCAGTTTCCTCATCTGTAAAATGGGATAATAATAGCTACCTCCTACGGTTTTTGTAAGGATTAAATGAGTTAATAAGTTAAAATGATCAGAACCGTGTCCAGGCACATAGTGAGGACTGTGACATTTTAACATTTAACATTATAACACTTAAGGAACATTTTAACTATGGCAACTGATGTTTTATGAGGCAGTGGTTGTTCAATGGTAGAATTCCCGCCTTCCATGCGGGAGACTCTGTTTGGTTCCCGGCCAATGCACCTCAAGTGCAGCTACACCTTTTGTCGGTAGTGGCTTGTGCATTGCTATGATGCTGAACAGGTTTCAGCAGAGCTTCCAGACTAAGACGGACTAGGAAGAAAGGACTGGTGATCTACTTTTGAAAATTAGCCAGTGAAAACCCTATGGATCACAGTGATCGAATCCACAATGAATCATGGTGATGGCGCAGGACCAGGCAGCATTTTGTTCCATTGCGCAAGGGGTCACCATGAGTTGGGGCCAACTGGAAAACAGCTAACAACAACAACTAGTGTTTCCCTGATAATTTTGCTCCACACTGCATCCATAATCTACATCTAGGCAGCAAACAAGTTCATTGTCTCAGGAACAGAAAGTGAAGGGAAAAGAGAAAGGGGAAAGGGGGGGGGGATTTTCAAATGCCCAAGCCTTTGGGAGAAAAGAAAGGACTTATGTCAAAGACAAAAGATTGGGACAAAAATATCGTGATTAAAATCAACTCCTAATCTATGGTGATAGAAATTAGATCAGTGGATGCCTCTAGGGTGGGGGTGGGAGGGGGTGTTGACTGGAAAAGGAGCATGAGGGAACTTTCTAGGGTGGTGGAAATGTTCTATATCTTGATTAGGTTGATGGTTATACAAGTGTACACATCTGTCAAAACTCACTGAACCTACACTTAGGATCTGTGCATTTTACCTTATGCAAATCATATCTCACCCACCCAATTTCAACACCAAAGATAGATTGCCTAAAATGGTGGACAGGAGACGTATCAGTAGGAAGGAAGTTATGAAGTTATGGGAGGGGCCCAGCACCTCATCCCTGGTGAAGACCAGGTTATGGCAAAAACCACAGACGGCTTGGGGCTCCAAAAGCAGAGGGGACCAGGGCCTCATTTCCTGGGTAAAGCCCCAGGCAAGTGTCAGGAGTGTCAGATGGAACTTAGGGGGTTTCACAGGCTCTCACACTCCAGCATATGGTAGAAGAAGCAGAAAGGTCCCTTGTGCCCAAGAATAGCAGGGAAGAGGTAGGGAGACCTCCAAATCCAAAGGACCTTGCTGATACAGGAGTGGGACATCTCAGGGACAGCCTCAGTGGTCCAGTGACCAAGAATCAGACAACCAGAAGAAAAGCTGAAATTTAGAGAGTCCTTGCTATCTGCCAGACACCAAAATGAGGGTACTCTAAGAAGAGGGTCCTAGTCTGTCTTGGCCATTGCTGGATCCCCAGTGCTTGGAATAGTGCTGAGCACATAGTAGGTGCTCAGGAAATTTGGTTGAATTAATGAGTTAATGAGCAAGCTGTGCACTTTACACAGATTATCTCATTTGATCCTCTTTATGACCCACTGAGGTAAGTATTATTATTATCCCCATTTTATAGATGAGACAACTGTGGCACAGAAAAGGTAAACAACTCACCCAGGATCACACAGTTAGTGGATATCCCAGTAGATACCAGCTTGAGGTAAAGACTTCAAGAACAGACATGTGCTCCCTTCTACCTTGACCCCACATGAACTGTGTCCATTCAGAAGAAAAAGGGGGACCCCAATTGACTCAGATTAAATGTCCATCACTGACTCAATGGCATTGGGTTTGGTTTCAGTTTTTATCCTCAGAAGAGGAACTAACGTGAGTTACTTAAAAGAAGGTAAATTATATTTCTCGTGCAATTCAGTTTAGGGAGAATGATTTGTAGCTGCCCCACTTACATTATTTCATTTAATCCTCCCCAAAATTCTCTGTGTTAGCTACTCATACAAGTGATGCTAAGAGGAACAGAGGAACAAAAAAACAGAGGGTACATACAAGAAAAAAAAATAAGATGAATTCAACCATCTCAATAATTACATTAAATGTAAGTGATCTAAATGTGCCAATTAAAAGCCAAACATTGTCAGTTTGGATTAAAGAGACAATAAAAAGAAGATCCAACTATACGCTGTCTACAGAAACCCACTTTAAATGCAATCGCAAAGATAGGTCAAAACTAAAATGATGGGAAAAGCCATGCAAACAATAATCAAATGGTGCTATGTTGAGAGTGTGGACTTTGAAGACAGCTACCTGGGTTCAAATACCAGCTCTGACACTTGCTAGTTGTGAGTGAACACAGGCAAGTTGTTCAAGTGTACTGTGCCTCAGGTTCCTCATCTGTGAAGTATAAATGATACATACTGTGTACAGATGATAATGCTACTTAACTGTAGCAGTATTAAGCCATTAAAGTTGTTTACAAATATTCTATTTTTCCTTCTGGATACACACAGATAAGACTGTACTTCCCTATCACCTTAAAGAATAAGAGTGCCCAGGTGAGTTCCTTTGTGAGTAGAAGTATGTGTGTTGCATCCAGGTGGAAGCTTTAAGAGCCAATGTATGATTTGCCTCATACTCTTTCAACAGGAAATATCTCATTAAGATTTGGAAGACTGTTACTGCAGCATAATATAACATCTCCTGACTGATCCACTCACATATAGGGTTATTCTGAGGAATAAATAGGTTAATGCATGTAAAGTGTTTGGAATACAGCCTAAAGAGTAGAAAGTGCTACCTAAGAGCCATAATTTTGTCCCATGTTAGAGATGCAACTGTGGCTTGGAGAGCCAAGGTCACAACAACACAATCAGGATTTGAACTCCAGCAGAGCAAATCCTCTTAACCTCTGCAGGATGCTGTCTCAGTAAGAGCTTGCTATGAACATTCTTAGTGACTCAAAAGCAATTCCAATTTCTTTCCATCCAGGGCAGGATATACGAATCCTAGAAGAGAGGCAGGTTGGCCCTGCTCATTTACAGAGGTTCAACAGGGACAGCTTACGTGCTCAGCAGAGCTGCTGATGATGACCAGGTGAGAGTAATTCTCCTGGCAGAATATCCTGGCTCCATCCCATGACTTGGTGCTTGAGGAGAAGTAGTAACATTTGCCCTCGAAGGGAAGCCAGCCCTTGGGGCAGGTGACCTTGGTACATTCTGGAGATGGGATAGGATTTTGTCAGGGTGGCCCCAGAGGCAGGGCCATGTTTATGGTATGCCATGTACCCACTATCCAAGCTGTGCACTGCTCAACTCCAGAGGACACTATTCACACAGACTGCACTGAGAATGGCTCTCATGGAATTTATGCAATGCACTAGCTCTGCCATGCCCCCCTCTCTGGGCAGGTCCCCAAATTCTACTCACCTAATAAGCCCCGAAATTCCACCAGGGACTGGTTAGTGTCAGCTCTTATGTGATCAATGTCCTTCTTCAGACCAGCTAGCCCCGCCATGCCAGTCACTGTCAGCAGGGATGGACTTGAGGGTTAGAGACCCAAAGCTCCCACCTACCCACCCACCTACTGCTGACTGCAGCAGACACACTAGAGAAGCAAGAGCTGTGCTCGTACAACACCCATGTCCTAGAAGGTGGTGCTAAAACTCAAAAAACAAAACAAAAAAACCATGCTCAGTGCCCAGAAGAAGCCCTAGAGGGGCTCAGAGGAGGGAGTAATGCCTGGGGTTTGGAGGAGTGAGGGCAGTGGGCTCCCTGGAGGAAGTGGGCTTTGAAGGAAAATGATTCAGTAACTGTGAGAAGAAAAATGAGGCACAGCAGGCAGGGACAACTTCAGGAACAAAGGTGCAGAGGCAAGTAGGTTGGGGAAGGCTGGTGCAGCAGAGATGGAGGGAATCCCAGAGAAGGTTGAGCTCAAAGGAGGGCGAGGTCTGGTGGCTGGGTCCTTAAATGCCAAGCCAAGGGTTTCTCATTGGATTCTGGGCACTGAGGAGTCATGGATGGGATTTGAGCAGGAGAGTGGCTTGATATGAGGTATGGGGTGGGGCATGTGGAATGGAGTAATTCCCAGGCTACAGCCGTCATGGCGAAGTTCAGCCCAACTCAGAAGACTCTTCTTCAACAAATGTGTGACTTTCCCCCACAAACTTGACCCTCCTCCAACATTCCCTAGCTCAATGGATAGCGCATCAATTGTCCAAGACAGAACCATAAGTTATCCTTGGCACCCCTCCCTCTCGCACACCACTACTCCCAATCCATTCTCAGATCCTATCAAATTTGCCTCCTAAACGTCTTTCTACTCCACCCACTTCTCTCCATTCCCTGGCCACTACCTTTATCCAAGCCACCATCATCTCTCACTTGCCCAACTGCACCATCCTCCTCCCTTGTACTTGTGATGCCTCCTACCACAGGGCCTTTGCACATGCATAAGACCTTCAACCTCTCACCTAGTTAACTCCTTCCCTTCGTTTGCTCAGCTGCATCACCACTTCACTAGGGAAGCTCTTTATGGCCCACCAAGAGAAGGTTAAGACCCTGGTTATACATTTTCATAGGACCAAATTCCTCTTCCTTTGGACTATTCATCAAATTTTGGAATTTTAAACCCGTTTGGGTGATAATTCGATTAATGACTGTCTATCTCTACCAGCACTGTCTAATAGAATAATAATGTGACCCACATATGTAAGTTTTATAACCACATTTTTTAAAATAAAATAAAAAAAAACAGGTAAAATTAATTGGAATGATATTTTTACTTATCCCAATATATTCAAATATTGTCATTTCAATGTGAAATAAATCTGCAACTTATTAATGAGATTTTTTTACATTATTTTTTCATAGTAAGCCTTTGAAATCAGTGTGTATTTTACACTTATAGCACATCTCAGTTTGGACTGGCCAGATTTCAAGTGCTCAATAGCCACATGTGGCTCATGGCAATCATATTAACAGCACAGGTCTAGACACACACTGCACAAGTGCATAAGGACAGGGACTGTTTCTGATGTGTCCGCCATTCTACCCCCAGTGCCTAGTACACTGCCTTGCACATAGTAGGTGCTCAATATGGGTGGCATGAAGGAATGACTGAAAGCACTCACCGTTTGCTTGCCATGCCATCTGCTGAAAGGTTAACATCCTCAGTTCTTCCACCACTGCCTTGTCTACGAGGAGGAGTCCAGTTTGAGCCCGGGTCATCCTGCACCCCTCACCGATCTCCCTCATACCCCATCCTGGCCCTACTTACACTTAATTAGGGTCACAGCCAGGCTAATGCACCCCAGAAGCAGTGAAACCACCACCAGCGGACACAGGCACACAATCAGTCTGTCCTCCCAGCAGCGCCCAGGACCCCCCGGCTTCTGGCTGAGGCAGGGCACTGGAGTTGCTGTAGAGGGACAGGAAGCAGAAAGACTGCTACCAGTGCTTTGGAGAGTGAGGAAAGAGCCCTTGAGCCTTTCTCCAAGAGGAGGGGGACATAGGTGTGTAGTCATGACTGTATCACCAGACAGGGTCAGCAAAAGAGTATCAGGGAGAGCAAACACCGAAGAGGCCTAAACATTTATGGAACTTTACTGTGCACCAAGCATCATGTTACATCCTTATTATCTTATTGGATCCTTGCCCTTATGACATCGGTGTAAGTATTATTCCCATTTTGCAAATAAGAACCAGCTGCACTCTTTAACATCTAGGACATGTTGTCTTCTAACAAATGATACTATGAAACAGAAGAACAAAAATAGAGAGGACATACAGAAAAAAAAAATGAATAAGATGTAGACATAAATCCAATCCTATCAATAATTACATTAAACATAAATGGTCTAATTAATTAAAAGCCGGAGACTGTCAGATTGAATTTTAAAAAAAGACCCAACTATACAAAGGGTAGGGAAAGATAAACCATCAGCACCTGCCCAGGCTGCTGCTTGTCCGAAGAAGCCAGTGGCTCTTGCATCTGGGCACCAAATGTTGCCCATATCTTATTCAAGCAAGAAGTTGGGCCTGAAGAGTACCTGGAAGGTCTCAGTATTGTAGATGTCTCATCTCTTCCAAGCCCTGGGACCCTGGGACCCTGAGACCCTGGGGGTCTGCCTATACTCAGTGGGGAGCAGCTTCTAAAAGGGAAAAATTCCCTCTGGCCCCATGTCTCACCCTGGCAGCTGTATGTCTGATTAAAATGCCCTGGCTGATGAGAGAGGAAATGGTGCACACTAGGAGGATAAGGACTTACTGTCTGGGGGTGGCCGGGACAGAGAAGGTTCCAGTCCAATACCTGGAAGAAAGAGGCAGAGAGGTTTATGGACAACTTACCAGAAGACTCTATCATCCAAGAGAGTCCCTATCACTCAGCTTTGTTTTCTGGTCAGGGTTGGGGAACTGGAGGAACAGTGGGCTGTGACCCTTCCATATGCTCCCTCTCAGGCTTCTCAAAGGGTCTTTCCACTACTCACCTAGTTGAGGAGATGTGCAGGACACAGGGGTGAGGTTCAGCCCTGGAATGGGTCAGAAAGATAATGGTCATGAAGAGCAGGCCTTCAGCAAGGTGAGCCAGAGATCCTAGCCCTAGACTCTCACCTGCCATCTTCTGGGGCTTGCAGGGAATTGAAAGGATCTTCTTTTTCTTTTCTGGGGAGGGAGGAATGGTTGCTCAGTCTCAACAGGGCAAAGTCAGCATTGGGTCTCCTGTCCCCCAGCCCCAGCTCACCTGCCCTTGGAGGCCTTGGAGGAGCCATTGAACCTGGAAAAAAGAAGCTCAGGTTAGAACTTGTCTGAGGATGCGAGCAAGATTGAAGGAAGTGATGAAAATCAGGTTGGGATTGCAAAGGAAGGTGAAGGATGGGGTTGGAGATAGGATTGAGTGTGAGAATGGAATTGAGTTAGGCATGAATACAGGGTTCTGTTGTACATAGGATCGCTACGATTTGGAACCAACTCAATGGCACCTAACAACAAAAACAGGGTTAAGGCAGAGTAACTAGCCATCCTGAAATGCCTGAGACTTTCCCAGTTTTCCTACATACAGAGAGAGAAAGAGAAGGAGAGAGATGGAGAGGGGGAGAAGGTCTGTTAGAATGTTAAAAATGTTTTCTCTAACTGGAACACTTATACACTGCTAGTGGGAATGTTAAATGGTACAACCACTTTGGAAATCGATTTGTTGCTTCCTTAAAAAGAAATAGAAGTACCATACGATCCAGCAATCCCACTCCTTGGAATATATCCTAGAAATAAGAGCTGTCACACGAATAGATATACACATACCCATGTTCATTGCAGCACTGTTCACAATAGCAAAAAGATGGAAACAACCTAGGTGCCCATCAATGGATGAATGGATAAACAAATTATGGTATATTCACACAGTGGAATACTACGCAACGATAAAGAACAATGATGAATCCGCGAAACATAACATGGATGAATCTGGAAGGCATTATGCTGAGTGAAATTAGTCAGTCACAGAAGGACAAATATTGTATGAGACCACTATTATAAGAACTCAAGAAAAGGTTTAAACACAGAAGAAAACATTCTTTGATGGTTACAAAGGTGGGGAGGGAGGGAGAGGGGTATTCACTAACTAGATAGTAGACAAGAATTATCTTAGGTGAAGAGAAGAACAACACACAATACAGGGGAAGTCAGCACAACTGGACTAAACCAAAAGCTAAGAAGTTTTCTGAATACAACCAAGCACTTCGAGGGACAGAGTACCAGGGGCAGGGGTCTGGGGACCATGCTTTCAGGGGACACCTAGGTCAGTTGGCATAACAGTTTATTAAGAAAATGTTCTGCATCCCACTTTGGTGAGTGGCGTCTGGGGTCTTAAAAGCTAGCGGGCGGCCATCTAAGATGCATCAATTAGTCCCAACCCACCTGGAGCAAAGGAGAATGAAGAACACCAAAGACACAAGGAAAATATTAGCCCAAGAGACAGAAAGGGCCACATCAACCAGCGACTCCATCAGCCTGAGACCAGAAGAACTAGATGGTGCCTGCCTACCACCAATGATTGCCCTGACCAGGAACAAAACAAACAGACCCTGGTGGAGCAGGAGAAAAGTGAGGTGCAGAACTCAAAATTCTAGTAAAAAGACCAGACTTAATGATCTGACTGAGACTAGAGGGACCCTGGAAGACATGGCCCCCTGACTCTCTGTTAGCCCAAAACTGAAACCATTCCCGAAGCCAACTCTTCAAACAAAGATTAGACTAGAATATAAGACATAAAAATGATACTCATGAAGAGAGTGCTTCTTAGCTAAAGTAGATACATAAGACTAAATGGGCAGCTCCTGTCTGGAGGCCAGATGAGAAGGCAGAAAGGGACAGGAGCTGGTTGAATGGACATGGGAAATCTGGGGTGGAAAAGAGGATTGTGCTGTCACATTATAGGGAGAGCAACTAGGGTCACATAACAATGTCTGTATAAGTTTTTGTATGAGAAACTAACTTGAACTGTAAACTTTCCTTAAAGCACAATTAAAAAAAAAAATGTTTTCTCTACATGGAGGGATTATGTTGATTATTATTTGTATCCTCGTTACTTGAATTTTCTAATTTTTCTATAATGAGCATGTGCTATCTGTGTAATTAAAAATTTTAAAGATATAATTTATTTTTTAAATAATTTGTTTGAAAAGTAATTATGGTAATGTTTGGACACTGAGAAGGCCATGAACAATACAAGATGGACCCTGCCTGCGAAGAACTCTGGTAAAGAACCAGAATACCTTACTGAGCAGTGACCTAGGCCAGGAAAAAATACCAAACAACTGACTTCATGGTAACTTCAACTGAAACCATTAACTAGTACAGAAACAACCCCATCCATCGTAGATTAGACATGTTTTTTCCTGGGTCCTTTGCACATATCCTTGCACGTAAGCACTAAGTATACAAACCTACACCCTGCACTGCCTTGTGCTGACCTCTACCCGAGTGACTTGGTGTGTCTCCATCTGTCACGGGAATCTTGACTCAGACCTTTTTCTGTAAGTTCCCTAATAAAAGCTGGATCTGATCAACCTGACTTTTTCTGTCTCTTTTTTCAGAATCTGACCTGTGCCCCTCAGAACTACTCCGGCTGCTGGTCTGGTGGGGTACCACAGATGTGCACATCTCTGCAGGATTTTCACCTTAGACATTGTCTTGTTAATGGAATATAATAGAACATTCCTACTAATGCCCCCAATTTTGATTCTTGAGGTTGGGAAAACAGTGTTTTCCTTGTAGAGTTTTCATTTCTAGAATTCTTATACTATGGGGCACATACATAACTTTTTTCCTTTTTAATCAATCAATAAATGATTTTTTTTTAATCTGAAGGTCTCACATCCAGGGAAGCCCCTCAGCCCTGGAAAAACTGGGCTAGTTGGTCACCCTAATTTAAAGACACATTTGAGTTTGGGGGTGGGGATGGAGTTGGAATGGTGATAGGAATAAAAATGGAGTTTGGAATGGAGTGAGGTTAGAGATAGGGTTGGGATTGGGGTTTGGATTGGGATTGGGGTGGGGTGGGGTTGAACATGATCTGGGGTTGGGGATAGTGATGGAGATGTAGGTAGGGTTGTGATTCAGGATGTGGTTGTAATGAAGAATGGAGTCATAGCTGGGTTTGGGAAAGAAAAAGAAGTCGAGATTGGGTTGTAGTTGGGAATGGAGATTGGGATAGGGCTGCATTTGGGGATGGAAAGGATCTACACTGGGAAGATGGTAGCTCTGAAGTTGGGGATGAGGTTGGTCTTGGAGTTAAATTTGAGGATCATGTTGGGGCTAGGGTTGGAGCTGGAGATGAAGGAGTCAAACAGCAGAACCCTGTTCACCTCCTACCTCATGCTGAACCCCACACTGTCCCTGGATCTCTTGGGGTAGCCTCACTCTGGACTCATAAATGGGAGATGCAGAGTCCCATCCCACATGGAATGGCCACTCTCCAAGGACACAATCAGCCTGACTGGCTGAGCCCCATGGATCTCATAGCTTCCAGGGCCCTGGTGGGAGCTGATGCAGAGAAACCTTCCAAGCCTACACTTTTATATCCACTTAGACTTACTGAGTTCTGGGCCACGCCCGGGCCTTGGATGTGAATGCATGGAGGCAAGAGACCCAACAGTCCGCTCGCAGTTCCTCAAACACATCAGCTTTCATATCTTAGAGTCTTTGCACCCACTGGTTCCTTCCTGGTTGTGTCTTCCTAACAAATTCCTACTCATCCTTCCAGTTCCACTCCAATACCCCCTGATCACAGAAGCCTTCCCTGGCTCCCAAGCCCCCACCACTGCAGGCAGAGCCTTCAATTGTCCTTCAGGATTCTCTCATCCCTTGGTCTCTCCCTTCTCGGCCCTGCTCACCCAAGGCTGTGCCCAGAACTTCCCCCCACCATCAGACTGGGGGCAGGGCACAGACAAGGATGTCCCCACCATTGAGGTGCCTGGCATGGGGCTGGACACACAGCCAAAGGGCCCTGAGGACCCTACTCCCCCAGCCCCCAGCCCCTAGCCTCACATCCCTCCACCTGGCTTCATTGAAGCCCTCTTACCTGGCTTAGGAGGAAGGTCCTTGTAGGGTGGTGTCATATTCTCATAATCATCATCCTCCTCCTCCTCCCTCGCTCCTTCCGGGAGAGAAGCAAGTCAGGGCCCAGCCCATTCCCTCCTCCATCCCTCAGGCCCTGGCCTCCCACCCAGCTATCCCAGGATGGGGATGCTGTAACCTGGGTCCTGACCACCCCAGCCCCCAGCCTGAGTGTGGCCAAGGCTGTACCCGATGGGTCCTGGAAGCCAGCGTTAATATACGTGGTGCACATGGCTGCAGCCTATAAAGGGAGCCTGAGAAGGGGCTGCTAGAACTTTGCAGCTTCTACCCCTGTCTCTCCTACTCCAATGTCTAGGGCCTTTATCAGTTCCTTCTTTCTTAAAGGCAAGGACATGCAAATGAATCTGAAGGGAAACCCCCAACCACTGGCGCACACACACACACACACACACACACACTCAGACACATTTGTCTTTCTCCCCAGTTTGGATTGGTGTGTGGAAGTAACCATGACGATAGCACCTGCATGGAGCTCCTACAAAGTGCCAAGCCCTGGATGAAAAAGATGGATAAACTCCTTCCTTCATGGAACTTTCAGTCTAGACAGGAGAGACAATAAACAGGTAAACAAATGTAGAAATAAACAACATAGTTTCCAATAGTCACTAAGCATTCTAAAAAATAAAGCAGGGCAATGAGATAGGATGAGGGCTAGTGTAGAGAAGATGACCAGGAGGGCCTCCTGGAGGCAGTGACATTTGCAAAAAGACGATAAAGTGCTGGGTGCTAAGTACTCCCACATTACAGAGTGAAGTGCTAGGCCACTGGATCAGTTATCTATCCAGTGATTTAAAACATATTGTTAGGTGCCATCGAGTTGGTTCTGAACCACAGAGACCTTATGTATAACAGAACGAATCGTTGTTTGGTGCTCTGCCATCCTCGCAATTGTTGCTACGTTTGAATCCATTGTTGCAGTCACTGTGTCAATCCATCTCGTTGAGAGTCTTCCTCATTTTTACTGACCCTCTACTTTACCAAGCATGATGTCCTTCTCCAGGGACTGGTCCCTCCTGATAACCTCTAAATTACGTGAGACAGTCTCACCATTTTGCTTTTAATGGATATTCTGGCTGTACTTCTTGCAAGACAGGTTTGTTCATTCTTCTGGTAGTCCATGGTGTATTCAACATTCTTCACCAACACCATAATTCAAATGCACTGATTCTTCTTCAGTCTTCCTTATTCATTGTCCAGCTTTCACATGTATATGATTGTGTTGTTGTTAGGTGCCATTGAGTCAACTCTGACTCATAGCGACCCTATGCACAACAGAATGAAACACTGCCCAGTCCTGCACCATCTTCACAAGTGTTGCTATGCTTGAGCCCATTGTTGCAGCCACTGTGTCAATCCATATCATTGAGAGTCTTCCTCTTTTCTTCTGACCCTCTACTCTACAGTCATGATGCACTTCTCCAGGGACTGATCCCTCCTGATAACACGTCCAAAGTATGTGAGACAAAGTCTTGCTATCCTCGCTTCTAAGGAGCATCCTGGCAGCACCTCTTCCAAGACAAATTTGTTCGTTCTTCTGGCAGTCCATGGTATATTCAACATTCTTCACCAACACCATAATTGAAGTACATCAATTTTGCTTCCCTCTTCTTTATTCATTGTCCAGCTTTCCCATGTATATGAGGTGATTGAAAATACCATGGCTTGGGTCAGGCGCACCTTTGTCCTCAAAGTGACACCTTTGTTTCTCAAGACTTTAAAGAGGTCTTTTGCAGCAGATTTCCCCAGTGCAATGTGTCATTTGATTTCTTGACTGCTGCTTCCATGGGCTTTGATTGTGGATCCAAATAAAAGGAAATCCTTGACAACTTACAATCTTTTCTCCTTTATCATGATGTTGCGTATTGGTTGTGAGAATTTTTGTTTTCTTTATCTTGAGGTGTAATCCATACTGAAGGCTGTGGTCTTTGATCTTCATCAGTAAGTGCTTCAAGTCCTCTTCACTTTCAGCAAGCCAGGTTGTGTCATCTGCATATCGCAGGTTGTTAATTAGTCTTCCTCCAATCCTGACGCCCCATTCTTCCTCATATAGTCAAGTTTCTCGGATTATTTGCTCAGCATACAGACTGAGTAGGCATAGTGAAAGGATACAACCCTGACACACACCTTTCTCGACTTTAAACCACACAGTATCCCCGTGTTCTGTTCCAAAGACTGCCTCTTGATGTAAGTACAGGTTCCTCATGAGCACAATTAAGTGTTCTGGAATTCCCATTCTTGGAAATGTTGCCCATAATTTGTTATGATCCACACAGTCGAATGCCTTTGTATAGTCAATAAAACACAGGTAAACATCTTTCTGGTATTCTCTGCTTTCAGCCAAGATCCAACTGACATCAGCAATGAAATTCTCATTCTTGCACCATAGTTTGTGGTAATTTGTTGCAGCAACCCTAAGAAAATAATAGAAGATGGGTAGGCCTGGAGCAAGATAAGTACATGAAGTCTGGGTGGTCTCACTGGGTAAGGGTGATGGTTACATGCCATCCCCTGGAGCCTGGCATACAGTACTTGTTCAGGAATTGGTGGTGGACTCCAACTCCATCAACTGGGTATAACATAAGACTATGTGCCTAGGAGACCTCAGCTCTGTCCCTTTCTCACTGTGTGACCTCAGACGAATGGAACAATATCTCTGAGCATCAGTGCCCTGATGTGTCAAATGAGGATCATTAGTTCATTCATTCAAAAGATATGTATTGACCATGTACTATGTGTCAGGTACTAGGTACTAGGGATACATTAAACCAAACCCGTTGCCATCAAGTGGGTTCCAACTCATAGCAACCCTATAGGACAGAGTAGAACTACCCCATAGGGTTTCCAAGAAGCAGCTGGTAGATTTGAACTGCTGATCTTTGGACTAGCAGTGGAGCTCTTAACCACTGCACCACCAAGGCTCCTAAGGATACGTCCGTGAACAACAACAACAAAAATCCCTACTCTTGGGAAGAGGGAGAAAGACAATGGATTAAGTGAGTCAAATATCTTAGAAGTTATGTTATATAGTAATAAGTAGAAAAAGAAGAAAAATAAATCAGCAAGGGGGAATCAGGTGTAGATGGGAGGTTTCAGTAAAAAGGAGTATCACCAAATTGAAATCATGCAAAGTATGCTCTCAGATCATAACGGAATTAAACCAGAAATAAATAACAGAATGATATCTGGAAAATCCCCAGTATCTGGAAATTAAATAACACACTTCTGAATGACCCATGGGTCTAAGAAGAAGTCAAAGAGGAAATAAGAAATATTTTTAGCTGAATGAAAGTAAAAACATAACATATTAAAATGTGTGGGATGCATCGAAAGCAGTGCTAAGAGGGAAACATATAGCAGTAAAATGTTTATATTAAAAAGTGTGATCAGGACAGGCCTTACGGGTAAGATGACATGTGAAAATGGCCTGAAGGAGGTGAAGGCAAAGCCATGTGGCTGTCTGGAGGAAAAGCATTCCAGGGAAAAGAAACAGTCCTTGCAAACACCCTGAGGACAGCAAGTTCCTGGTATGTTCAAGGAACAAGAAGTCTTGGGTCCAATGTCAGCTTCTGAACAAGACCTTTAAAATTCCAAACCAGCCTTCTCCATGCAATCCACACTGTATTTTTCTCATTAACAGTTATCACCACCTGACATTCTATGTGCAGTCAATTCTCGTTATTTACACTAGTTGTGTTCTATGCAGTCACTGCAAACACTGAATTAGCGAATGTTGAACCATTGCTCCCAGAGGAAATACAGGGTTAGGTTTCTTTTGATGGATCAGTACATAACCTTATTTGATATATATTGCTGATTCATTAAATTGGAGTCATGGCCAACAGCACTATAACTCATGCCTGCATGAAGCTTATCTAACACGTACTTTCTCTGTAAGGCACCTCATAGCCTTCTTGCACTTAGGAACACTAGACAGCCCTTCAGCACTATGCTTGGGCTCCATTTTAAACAGCAAAATCACCTAAAAGAAGCACAAAAATGCAAAAAATGTGGCACAAAATAGACCACAAGAAAGGGCACTTGTTTATAGTGTGAGCTAAAACAAGAACGCAGCACATCACCTCATTCACTTCCAGCTGGGGGCATGTGCGTGGGCGACTCAAACTTTTTGCCATTCTGTATGTGTATGCGAATGACTGCAAAAACCCCGTGTGATGGTTAAGATTGTGTGTCAACTTGGCTGGGCCATGATTCTCAATGTTTTAATGTAATCACTCCCATGATTGAATATACTGTGAGTAGCCAATCAGATGAAAGGGAGTCTCCTTGCGGGTGTGGCCC